ATGGGCCCGTCTGTTAGACACGTGGGAATGGTCATGTGACCTCCTCGCACCTTCCTGAACGGCGTTTCTTTGATGGCCGCCGGGGAGGGACATGTGACTTGTAAGGTGTGATGTCCGCGCCTATACGCCCGGCGAGGATGGAGAGGACGCGGGGATGTATCGCCATTTGCTGATCTGTGGCCGGCGAACCCGCCATGAGAACGCCGTTGGTCTCTTTGCCGTCGCGGTGATGGAGACGCATGTTCCCTGCGGGTGAGTTATGGAAAACGCTCATCACTGGAGGAGAATCTCCGCCGGAAGCTTCATCAATATTCACCGACGCGCCTGCGTTTCCCTTCACGCCGCCGCAGGATTTATTGTGACGCCGTTTGTCAAGGAGACGCCGTAAACTAGATCCGGGCCGCTCCCGCCGCGCGAAGCTTCTCCTCACCGTTCCTCTTTTATGGCTGGAAACTCCGGTGACGAGAGAACGACCGCACCGGTCACATGTCTTAGCTATGGCATGCGGATTCAGCAGGATTTTCACAAGGCTTCCGGGTCTGACCGCAAACTCTGGTCATGTGATCCTGTGCGGCACTTCCCGGTGTCCATTACCTTTCACATGATTCCCCTCGACAATGCTTTCATCTGCTTTTCTCTCCAGGACGGCACCATCTTTGTACTGGAATCATCCCAAAGTCGTCATCTACTTCCTGGACTGAGATGGCGGCTCAGAAATCCCGGTGCCCGTCCAGTTCTGGGCTGTGTTCACAAATGTCGGACACAGATCAGCCCCTGCTGCAGCCTCTCACCTTGTGACTGGATACAAAGTTACAATGTTGCAGTCTGATCACTGGGGGAGACTGAGGAAATGCTTCCTCCTGCCTGCAGTAGACTGATCACTGGGGGAGGGGAGACTGAGGAAATGCTTCCTCCTGCCTGCAGCAGACTGATCACTGTGGGAGGGGAGACTGAGGAAATGCTTCCTCCTGCCTGTAGCAAGACTTATCAGTGGGGGAGGGGAGACTGAGGAAATGCTTCCTCCTGCCTGCAGCAGACTGATCACTGGGGGAGGGGAGACTGAGGAAATGCTTCCTCCTGCCTGTAGCAAGACTTATCAGTGGGGGAGGGGAGACTGAGGAAATGCTTCCTCCTGCCTACAGCAGACTGATCACTTGGAGTGGAGACTGAGGAAATGCTTCCTCCTGCCTGCAGCAGACTGATCACTGGGGGAGGGGAGACTGAGGAAATGCTTCCTCCTGCCTGCAGGAATGGGAAGGCCAGATGGGGATGTCTCGGAGTCTCTGATGGGGAACGCGTCGGTTTATGACGTATGTCCAGGTGGCGCGCGGAGAATGTTTGCTTTTCCTGACGGCCGCGGGTCGGTTTCGCAATCCC